ATGTCTGAGTTTGCATTGCTAATCCCAACGCAGGAGCTAAAAGTTTTTTTAAAACCAGGATTACAGGTCTATTTAGGGTCTACTTTTAGTGTCAAATAATTCATACTTACAGTACAAAATTTGTAGCACACAGAAAATTTGAGCGGAAAAGTGAAAAAAATATTGACCCACAACCAAAATTATCAGGTGTCAGTATTTTGGTGTAGTTTTATAATTTATGATTATACAACTGTATATACAATTTTTAACTTTTTTGAACTAAATTAAAAGATTGTCATCACACTTAGATATTTAGTGCTTAAATAATACATCATATAATAATCTCTTGTATATTTATGATAATCTATTGTGTATTTCAAAATAGCTAGAAAAGAGTTATTGGAATGCTTGTAGCATAAAGAAAAGATAGATATTTAAGGTGCTGGATATCCCAATTACATTGATCTGACCTTCACAAATTATAGGAAAATATTAAATTAGGAGATATACCCTGAAAATATATACATCTATTATGTATCAATTAAAATATAGCTATATGTATATAAAAGTACATTAGAAGCATATTTTTTCAGTCATTCATTTGGTCCTTATTGCTGAGAACTTGGAATTTTCTTTTCTTTGCACTTTTTTCCAGGCTTTATTGAACATTTTTGTGACTGTTTCTAAATTCAATCTAATGTTCTTATTCAAAGATTCAGAGCAATTGTAAAAGTCCATTTCTAAAATTCCAATTTGTTTTAAAAAGTTGGACCATGCATTATTATTTTTGATACTAGAGATACAATAAGATCTGAATACATCACGGAATATATGCCATCATCCTGACCTTGAGTAAGTTTCCCCTACCTACAGTAGATGGGACCTGGGCCAACCTAAGAAAAATCTATTATTTTTAAAAATATTTTGTCCTGTGAAACCAAAAAAACACAACCTCTGTTCCACAATATATGTGGAGTTGGGACCAGTGTCAGGGTTGGTTGATATTACCTCACATGTAAGCCAAAGACGTGGGGACAAGGACACAGAAACCATGGGAGAAACAACAAGCTTTGCAGAAGCAGCCAGTTTGCACTGAGGCAAGAGGCCAGGTTGTCCCAGGAGCAGGGAAAGCCTGTGATAGGTGATCAAGTCAGCCTAAAGAGTTGGAACATCCATGAGACCTGGCTGTACTGTCCAAGATGAGCCCCTCTTCTTACAACCAATGTCCTGTTTCTATAAGCTTCTCTGAGTGCATGCCTGCTTTTTGCAACAAAACATCTCTGTGGAAGCATGTCAGTGCCCAGAATGGCAGCTCTTTAAATTGAACTGTAGGGTTCTTAGTCTTGTGAAATTTGTCTTCCAGAAAGGGAGTTAACAGACCGTGTTGCCCATCACCCCTGCCTGCATTATGTAGGATGACTATTGATCTCCAGCTATTGGATCTTCACTACAGACTACTGTAATGAAAATGAGAAAGAAAAGAAGGAGGAAGGTTTTTTAGAAGGTACTCATAGCACACTGCTTACAAATTATTGGCTTAAAACTTCATGACATGGCCATACCTAACTGCAGGGGAGGTTCAAAAGACAGAATCCTATAGCTAGGGTAATAAATACAGAAGAAACAATTGAATATGGAAAGGAAATAGCATGCTATTCCATAATTGCTAAAGAAATATTAGAAAAGTTTCAGCTTAAACCACGAATAATTGCAATAAAATTTTACAACCCTCTGCAAGCATATATGAAAAACACACAAAAAGTTTGCAATGATCTTTTCTGGTTTTTTTTTTTTTTTTGAGATAGAGTTCCACTCTATCACCCATGCTGGAGTGCAATGGCACTATCTTGGCTCACTGCAACCTCCACCTCCTGGGTTCAAGCGATTCTCCTGCCTCAACCTCCCCAGTAGCTGGGATTACAGGCATCTGCCACCAACACCCAACTAGTTCTGGTATTTTTAGTAGAGACAGGGCTCCACCATGTTGGTCGGGCTGGTCTCAAACTCTTAACCTTGGGTGATCCACCTGCCTTAGCCTCACGAAGTTCTGAGATTACAGGCATGAACCACTGTGCCCGACCTGCAATGAGCTTTTCTTAAGCTAAGAAGATAAGAAAAATGAAAAAAATTAAATTATAAAATGAAACTTTGGTTTAGAGGTAAGAAACACTTTATGACAGCCAAGAGATCAGGGTTGTACTGTATATTATGTGAATGTTGTAGCATAACTTGACATTTTGTAAAAGTTGTTTTTCATGTGAATTGTTTTCAGGTGACTTACAAGGTCCCATCAGAAGTGAGTAATAATCTTCCATATTCTTGAGAAATCTTAATGTCATCTTCTACAGTCTTCCATTGTTCAGTTTAGGTAAACCTGGAAATCATGTTTGTATACTGTCTCATCCAACTTCAGTTACCCCTTCCCCATCATAAGTCAGGAAGATCTTGGAGATTTTTGCTCTAGCAATTAGTTCATCATGAATCCTGGAGTTCTTTACTATTCCAGTCATTGGTCCTCCTTTGCTTCCTGTAAGCATAATGAATTCACCACCATTAACCCCTAAACCATATGTAATTTGTACATCTGATTTTACTTCATGAACAAAAGTTCTATGTATATCCTGTAATTCTTGCCGAGTATAAAATTTGTTTTCAGTACAGACTGTATTTCTGCACTCATGCACCTATGTAAATTTCACTGTTATTGCTGGTTGGGCTTTCCAGGGGTCATCATGACCTCCTGGGTTCTCTGGAAGAGGTAATTTTCAGGATGACACTGTAATATTTTCCTAGTTAAAATTCTATATCTATCTAAATCGACTAATAGTTCCTAACGTCTTGTGTAAGAAGGTTGGTACTTTCTATTTTTATTAACTCTGTGAGTTAATGTGACCAATGCCTGAGGTTGGGTAACCAGGCCAGTGCCAGACTCTGCCAGAACATTTTTCCTAATACGTTTTTCTATTGCTTTCTATGGATCACTGGGTGTTAATATGAGTTCTAGAATTGCAATTTTCAAAACTGTTTTGTGAATGACTAGCAACATAGTTGCCAGAACATTTAATACATGTCTCTATTGCTTTCTATGGGTCACTGGATGTTAATGTGGGTTCTGGAATTGCAATTTTAAAAACTGTTTTGTGAATGACTAGCAAATAGTAATTTACTCTAATTTTCAAATATAATTTGCAAGTGAAATGTGTAGGACTCAATCACCTAGATCCTAAGTATGATGCCCTTGGAAGAGGCAAATAGTGACTTGAGCAAGTGCACTCATGTCTGCTTACACCAGTTACTTCTGAACTGCTCAATGGCAGGCAGGGGGAATGACCTCTGGTTGGCAGATGTCCACTCAGTATGACCCTGGATTAGACATAGAGTTACCTTCTGTCAGGCCAGCCACGTGTTGTTGGACTATTCCTTGGAGATACACTCATCAGTGACTGTTAAAGTACCTGAGTCATTAGGTGCCTGTAGACAATGCCCACTGACATGAGCATTGGGTACAAGCTGCCTAGCTGTGCTGACACTGACTGAAGCTTTGAGATTTCACGGTAACATGGCAGCCAATTATATATACTCAGATTTACCATTTGTCAAGAGGTATTCATTCACACTATCAATTAGGCAATTATCATTCCACACACAGGCAGGAATAAAAGAAATAAAAGACCACAGTGATGGCTCAAGAGACCAATGTACCTCCAGAAGAATCCAGTGGGTCCAGAAGCCCTTTGGATGTTTGTCAGATGCTCCTTTGGGGCAGAGATCATAGCAGCAGCCACCAGGTCTGGAGAAGTCCTTATAGTTCTCATGGGCAAAGCTTCTGAAAATGTCTTAGACAAGATCTTGTCTCTGCTGGTTTTATGATCCCCTGCAGATGGGTCCATTCTCTTGTTCTCAGCCACCTTTCACTTCCTATCAGTTCACTTCAGGTCTCTCATGATCTCAGACAGCAATAATTGTTATCACCTCAGCCCCTTCACATGTGTTTATCTCTTTGGGGATGAGGGGACAACTTTACTGTAGACTTAATTCTACTGGAGATGAGTGACTCCATTTTAAGACATGAGGATCACAAATTATTATCACATATCATCAGGGCAGAGAAGAGCTACCACCTGGGGCTGAAAGCAGATAACTCAATTTATTCTGGAAACACTCGTCTTGATTACGGTGCTGGTTACTGTGAGGGACTTCCTTTTCTCCACCTGTTTTTTACAAAGTTTGAGTCTGGACTGCTAACATTCTACTGACTTCCAGGTGAAGGGACTGACTACACCATCCCAGCCTGTCAGAGCACTTGCCCCAATACTTCCACTTTAAGAGTTTTCCACCTTGTCCAGAACTACAGTCCATTAATCCCCCCATTTTCTCTCTCAGGAGAATGAACAACACATCTCATGTACATACCCATATACCTCTTCCCCCAAATACCAAACACCAAAATCCAATCTGTCTCTTTCCACCTAAGCAATTTTAGACAGTCACTTTCTAATAATTGCCTTAAGCTCCCTGACTTGCTGCTCGTCCTTTCTCTGGCAAAATCTCATTCCTGGATGAGCCTCACTTTGTGTTGGCTCAGTGACACCACTCAGCTGAACCAGAAAAATATCAAAAAATGGTCACAGGTATCATCACAAATTCAAATTTCTTACACAACACACTGGCCCTAAATTTTCCAAAAATCAATAAAAGGTTTGTGTCTCCAACGACATCATTTTTTCTATGTTCTAACTTTTCGACCAATCTTTTCTGTGTTCTTCCTTTATTCAACTTCTCTCTTCTGATATCTTGCCAAATCAATTAAGGAGAAAAGATATCCCATTAGGTAACAGCCGATCATCTTCCCATCACCTAAGAAAATAATATGCACAGAATGCACCCACCTCATCTTTCTCTCCCTCATCATGTCAGAAAAATCATCCCTCCTTTTCTCACAAGGCAAATCTGAGATAAAAGATTTAGATGGCTATCTCTCCCCAACTTCACCCCCACTGTCCCTCCCCTATTCCCCGCAACAGACCCCAGTGTGTAGTGCTCCCCTCCCTGTGTCCATGTGTTCTCATTGTTCAACACCTGCCTAAGAGTGAGAACATGTGGTATTTCATTTTCTTTTCTTGTGTCAGATGGCCTGTAATTCTGGCAATTGGGGAGGCCAATGCAGGCAGATTATTTGAGTCCAGGACTTTGAAACAAGCCTAAGCAACTGAGAGAAATCCCACCTCTAAAACAAATACAGATAAATAATTAGCTGAGCATGGTGGTATGGTGGCACATGCCTATAGTACCAGCTACTGAGGATGGGGAGCACTGAGGTGGGACAATCACCTGGGCCTGGAAGGTTGAGGCTGCAGTGAGCTGTGATCATACCACTGCACTCGAGGCAGGGCAATGGATATTTTTTAAAGGGTCTTCTCTGTGAAAAAAATAATCAAATAAACAGGGGGCCATGAGGCTCAGGATGGCTCCAGTGCAGTGCTCTCAGTTCCACCTTAAACAAACCAAAACTTGACTCAGTGTAAATAAAAGGAACCTTAAGCTTAACCAGTCAGAAACCATCAACTAACATCTACCTAGAGACTTTCCACTGTAATGATCCAAATGAGACCACTGCTGCACTTTACCAGATCAAGCATTTTCTTTTCCTTCTACAATCACAATGTAAGTCTTCTCCTACCCTCCCAAATCCTCTATGTTGGAGCTCTGAGCTGCTTGTAGCCTGGGGCTGCCTGGTTTTAAATTTCTGAATGCTCAAATATACCTCCTAACATTTCATAATGCCTTAATTATATGAGTTTTGCTCTTGTTACCCAGGCTGGAGTGCAATGGCATGATCTCAGCTCACCACAACCTCCGCCTCCTGGGTTCAGGCAGTTCTCCTGCCTCAGCCTCCTGAGTAGCTGGGATTACAGGCATGTGCCACCATGCCCAGCTAATTTTTTGTATTTTTAGTAGAGATGGGGTTTCACCATGTTGACCAGGATGGTCTCGATCTCTTGACCTCGTGATCCACCCACCTCGGCTTCCCAAAGTGCTGGGATTACAGGCTTTAGCCACCACACCCAGCCTAATCATATCTTTTAACAGCTCTCATGGTTACATCATTCTTTCTAGATCCTCAAGTTCTATCTCCTTCAGTGGACTGATTCTTCAGTATGTTAACATGTTCTCCTCTACCATTGTAAAGACTCTCCTATTATGGGCAGTTTCTTATAGAACTACACATACTCTTACTGTGTGATCCAGCAGCTGCAGTCCCTAGGTCTTTATTCAAATGACCAGAAAGCTGATGTCCACACAAAAACCTGAACACAGATGTTTAATAGCAGTTTCTAAAATAGCTACCAAAACGTAGGAAGAACTAAGTTGTCCTTCAGTAGCTTAACTGATAAATAACACTGTGGTATATTTAGAAAATGAAATATTAATCACTTCTAAAAAGAAATGAGCTATTGAGCCATCAGAAGACACTGAGGAATGTTAAATGCATATTACTAACTGAAAGAAGCCAATCTGGAAAGCTATCTGCTCTACGATTCCATGAACATAACGTTCAGAAAAATGCAAAACTATGGAGACTGAAAAGATTAGTGGTTTGCGGTGGTTAGGAAAAGAGAGGATAAATAAATAGAGCACAAGATAATTACCATAGTGAAAATACACTGCAGGATATCATGACAGCTATGATGATACATTCATTATACATATACTTGTTATACATTTCTCCAAACCCTCAGAATGTGCGTCACCAAGGGTATCACTCTGGGTGATGATGACATGTCAGTATAAGTCCATGACTATGACAAATATTCTACTCTGGTATAGGAGGTTGTTAGTGGAGTGACCCAAGAGTGTACAGCAATTGAGGGCATATGGAAACTTTGGAGTCTGTACTCCATTTTGCTGTATATTTGAAACTACTCTAAAAAAAATGTCTATCACATAGCCCTTTTCAGGTCTCCAACTGGTCTGAGCCAGTTCTATTAAAGCTCAAAAAACACTGGTTAATAAGCTAGATCTGACCCAACTGGCAAGAAAAGGCAGGAAAGACCCAGGCCAAGAGAGTATATTCCACATGCATATACAAGGAAACTGGAGGAAGCTTGCAGGCCCTTTAGCCTGTTTCTGAGCCCATTGAAATGGCAGATGCAGGCACAGATGCCATGGGCACCAATGTTAAGCTGCCGACAACCAAGGCCACATGAACACAAATGTGCAGAATCTCCTCAGCAATCGGTAGCTAAGGATGTTAGGCCATGATAGGACTAGGATGGGAGATGAACTGAGAATAGATTCTGTAGGCTTTTGTTGCCTCTTCCCAGCCCCAAGCATTTCACTCTTTGCTCTTGCCACAGGCAACAGGGAGGCTTCCTGTGAATATCATCCCCACAGCCTACAATTGCATCACTCTCAGCCTCTTACACCCTCCTATGGCAGTGTCAGTCAGGACATCCAACCCTGAAAACTCAAGGGTCCACACATGGCCAACATCACGTCAGGGTGAACGGACCCCCTCCTCTGATCTGCAAACAAATGCGCCCTCCCTTCTGGCCCTCTGCCAGCAAATGGAGGCTCTGGAAATTTCCAGACACACAACAGTCTTCTGAACTGCAGGCTGCTGCCCCATCCTATGGCAGAGTAGACCTTTTCTCTACTAGGCTTGGCCTGTTATCCAGTTGAAAGAAATATCTTTTTAACACAGAAACTAGTGTTCTTTGGCCCTGACCCCATCACACAGTTTGTAGGTACACACCAGTCCCAAGTAAATACCACCAAATTGAGGCCTCAGGCCCTAGAGTGTGCACATAGACTCTGCTTTCAGAAAACATCAAGGTACTGTTGGAAAGTCTGCAGACTTTATGCAGAAAAATAAAATGAAAATAAAAGAAGTGATGAACACACACACACACGCCCCCCCCCCCACACACACACACTCCATAGTGACTAACGGGATCTCCCTCCAGGGGATTTGCAGAGAGGGGAGCAGAAAACATCCCAGGGGTCTTTCACAGCTACTTCCTTGAGCCCCTTTTCAGACTGTGCTCTCTAGACCTGTCTCAGCCCAAGCACCACCACCGTGATATGCAGGAGCTAGATTCCTTACCTGAAATTCAACATCAAGAAACAATCTCTTCTACTTAAAACTGATAGGAATATCCTCAATCAACATCCTCATTGGCAGGGGTGAAACTGGGAAGTTTCTTAAAAACTGAGGCCTCTGCCTACCACCAAGAGAACCTGGAAGTTTCCATCTATGCCATGAAATTCAAATCACTGGCCACTGCCCCAGTGTATGGCAGATTAGACCATCTCTCCATCTCATGCCGTTAAAAGGACACAACCAGTCCTTATATGCCTCTCAGTAAGAAAACACCACCACCTGGGAAGAAGTTTCACTGAAAAATAAAAATCAAATTTAAATCCTATCCAACTGCTACATGTGTCATCCATCAGGTAAATACAACCATGTGGCTATTTAAATTCATCTTAATTAAGATTAAATAAAATTTTTAAATTAGTTATCCCATCTCACTAGCCATATTCAAAGTGCCCAGTAGCCACAAGTAGCCACAACCCACACCTTGGATATACATTCCAGTCATTACAGAATTTATATCAGTAATGTTCCGTACCCATGCACAGGAAATACAGGAGGGCCTGAGACATGGCAGAGTGATGCAAAGCAATCCACAAAATCCAGAATACAAGAACCTCTACAGACCAACAACTTGGTTTCTTAAATAAAATGTAATCAAAAAAAGGAAATGTGAAGGAAGATTGTTGACCAAAAATTTTAAAAGATAGACGGAAAACCCATAATGAAAATCAGGTAAAAGTAAACTATGATGCTTATGGAAGCATGGAAGAGGAAACCAGGAAGAAAAAAAAGAGTCGCCACAAGAGGCTGGACCACACCGCCTTCCACAAGAAGAGGACCCTGGCAGGTGTCACAATCAAGCAGCAAAGCTTGATTTCCCAGCCTGAGTGCTGAGTACAGGGGTATTCACCTTCTGGCAGCCCATTAAGTTAAACAATTGTTTTTACGTGGTTTTCTATATCTGTATTAAATTTCACCATTAAAAAATGGTTAAATAAAAATCTCATAAAGAGCATTAAGTGTTACCTGGAAAATTACAATAGGCAGGATGAGAGCAATTGGGCCTCTGTGAGAAGTGACACCTAAGCCAAACTGAATTGATAAAAAAGAAGGCAGCCTTTGGAAGATCAGAACATTCCAGAAGAGAATGTAGAGAAAAGGGGTGACGCAATGGCTCACTCCTGTAATCCCAGCACTCTTGGGAGGGCAAGGCAGGAAGATCACTCTAGCCTAGAGTTTGAGACTAGCTCAACATGGTGAAACATTGTCTCTATAAAAAATGCAAAAAGCAGCCAGGCCTGGTGGCTCGTGCCTATGGTCCCAGCTACTCTGATGGCTGAGGTGGGAAGATCCCTTGAGCCCAGGAGGTCGAGGCTGCAGTGGGCCGTACACTCATGCCACTGCACTCCAGCCTGGAATGTAGAGCAAGACCTTGTCTCAAAAAAGAGAGAGAAAGAGAAAAGGCCTAAGACGAGGATAAGCTGTGTGGCGTTTGAGTACTGAATGAATTCCAGTGTGACTATAAAGTGGTGAGCTGCAGGAAGAACATTTACAGGTATCACAGATTTCTGGATGCTTACGAATAGCAGAAACTATGTTAACTCAGGGATGCTACATATATCCTAGTGATAAGACAAAAAATACATCAGATGTATAAAAATTTATGTGTGATGCTTCAAAATAAAGATTGGCACTGCTATTCAAACTGGAAGCTGAACCTGTCCTCCGTGGGCTGTGCAATGGACTAACTAAACTCAGAATGTGTTATTGCTTAGAATGCATGGAGTGCCCACCACAGTATCTGTGAGGATGACCTGTCATCCAATAAAAATAAGAAACCAACAACAGGTAAGGAATATTGACATCAGATAATCTTATTCTAGAACAACTCTCTAATAAATCAAACGTATTACACAGTCTTACCTCCTCTACATTCCAGTCAGGGGGCACCTCCACAAGAAATCGAAAGCAGTCCAAAGAGTCAGCCTTGTGCTTACACTCTCTGTCAGGCTGGCTGACACAAAACAACCCTCCAAGCTCTTCTCAGGTATCATAATCTTCTTCATTATCTTCTGTCACTAAAGAGAACACCATGGCAGAAAAGTGACAACAAAACCTACAGCCCTACAGGACTCATTGTTTTCAACCAGTTAGGCCACGATTCTTCCAACTCAGTGGAAGAAACTGTCTGTGATAAGTATGGCAATGGCCACATATGAGTCAGACACTGAGAGGGCAGGTCAGCTACAGGTAAAGAGAGGCCAGGAAGCTATTCCTCTACATGTGTGGGGGCTCCTGCAGTCCTGCACGGCAGCAGCTAAGCAGTTGAGGAGGACTTAGAATATTAGGGGTCAAGGAGGGAAGGGACATTTAAAACCAGAGCTTTCAATTATTAAAGAAGAGCTCTAAAGAGTGCTGAGCTTCTCATCACTGAGAGTACCTAGACAAAAGGTGAATGAAAATCAGTACACAACAACCCTCCCAATTCACTGTGCCGAGCCCAAGTGTCTCACCATGTGGCATTGATCTCATCGTGCAGCAACCAGAAAACACGATGTAAAGTTCACCACTCTATGTTTATTTTAACCATTAATTCTACCACAAAGAACATATAGGTAGGTTTAACAAAGCATAAAATCAGAGGACAAGGGCAAAAGGGAGAACAAAATGTGTTATACAGGGTTCTCATTCTCAGAAAGGAACAAATAAATACTTATATGGGCAGAAATATTTTTCTGGCACTAAATTCTACAAAAAAATTTCTCATGAATGACTTTTTAAAAGGGGACATTACATGATGCAACGGACATGACTTGCATTGAGTTTTATAACAAACCCATAAAGGTACTTCACAAGACCAATATGTGGTCCTCGTAAGCTGATGATTAAAGACGTCTGCCAAATGACGGCCAGCAATGATGGATGTCAACAATATCAGCCCAATCCTCCAACCAATTCCCTATCTCCTTTTCAGAAAATAATTACAGAAACTGAAACGTTTCCAGCTCTGAACCAGAATTCTTTACCTGTCCCATAAATAAGCTTTCGGAGGTTTAGAGCTGCTTGTTGCTGCCTCACAAAGGCCTCAGTTGCCTTTCTGGAAAAGGTCTTCCTTCCACTTGAGGGCACCTGAAATGATGAATGCCAACCTCCAGTTAGACTTGTTTACGTGTCTCCCCTCCCCCGAGATCCATCCACAATGCAGCATTTCAACACTTACCAAATCTCAAAATCAACAGACCCCCAAATGTAGACATTCCTTTGGGTACCATTTCTAGAGTCAAGTTCATAGCAGCAACCAACTAAATTGAAGCTTACCTGAGGCTTCGGTGGAATCACTCTTCTCTTCCTTGCAATCTTCTTCTTCTTTGAGTAAATTTCTATATCACTGGTCTCATCAATTAAGTTTCTTCACCCCAGTTCCTGACCACTGCCCACTTGAGAAGGCTCTGAAACTTTTTTCCTAAAAGTGTCCTCATTTTCCAAGTCCTCTTCCTCTGCACTGAGTGAAGAGCTTTCTTCAGATTCATCTTCAGATGAAAATGGCACAGCTGTGCAGTGCCCAGAAACGAAGAGGTGAGGGCTGCTTTCTTCATTGACAGACTTCTCCAGATTTACAGGGTCACTCCGGGGATTAGCTGGTGACAGCTCTGCTTTACTACCTTCTCCAACAGTCTTTGATCCTGAAATGCCCCTCTCTCCTGCAGTGCAGTCCTCTTCCTCACTGCTTTCCCCAGCTTATTTCACTTCCCCTTCTGCTGAGTTCCCCTCAAGCTCATCGTCTCGGTCAGCAAATGCTGGCAAATTAACTTCACTGTCTTCTTCCAACTCCTCAAGTTTTCCTTGTTTGATGCCCTTAGCAGTCATATACTGATCAGCATTTTCCTCCTCTTCTGCTTCCTCATTACTAGAGACGGTTTCCAATCTGTCATGTTCAGAAATTTCTTCTTCATCATCACTATCTCCAGATCCATCTTCATCTGCAAAAATGGCTTTCTGACGCATTCGATCAGAAATGACATGTTAGGTATATCATTTTAGTCTAGATACAGTTAATTAAAAGGTTGTGCAAACAGTACATACTGATTAGTTTATTCCACAGATATTTACTGAATTTCTACTATGTGTGCATCACTATGCTAACCACTGGGGAGTATAGTTGTGAATAAGGCATAATCACTATCCTCAAGGAACTTAGAGTCAATTATTACAGACTAACAAATAAAAGCTAAGATAGTGGTAGGTATAGGATGCTAAGGACCTACTTGGCATGACTTAGGAGGCAGGAAGGCCAAGTGACACCTGGCTGGGCACGTGGCTCATACCTGTAATCCTGGCACTTTGGGAGGCCAAGGTGGGTATATCACCTGAGGTTAGGAGTTTGAGACCAGCCTGGCCAACAATGTGAAATCCCGTCTATACTAAAGATGCAAAAATGAGCTGGGCATGGTGGCATGTGCCTGTAATCCCAGCTACTTGAGAGGCTGAGGCAGGAGAATCGTTTGAACCTGGGAGGCGGAGGCTGCAGCAAGCCATGATTGTGCTACTGCACTCCAGCCTGGGCAACAGAGTGAGACTCCTCAAAAAAAAAAAAAAAAAAAAAAAAAAAAGGAATACCCAACAGAGAAATAGAGCAGTATCCATTGATCTAGCCAACTGTATGTACAGGTAGGAAGAGTTTAGAAGGGAGAGGGCTTGCAGGCAGGGCAAACAGCATATGCAAAGAATAGCAGGTAAGTCCTGAGGTTTCCATGTGATAGAGAAGAGCAATAAGAGACCGGTTTAGTATTTAACAGGGACAGATTTTAAAGGCCATATGTGCATTGTTAAGGAGCTTAAAGCTTTTCTTGAAGACAGTTGATAATCACTTAAGGGCTTAAAGTAAGGAATAACATGATTTGATTTGCATTTTAGAAAGATTGCTGGCCATACTTAGGAGACTGAATTGGAGAAAAGCCATACTGGAGGCCTGGAGACCTCTTAAGATGCCATAGGAGTAATCTATGGTAGAGATGTTGGTGATCTGAACTGAGTCACATATGTTGAGGGATGAGAACTGAGGCACTTGAGAGGTTGTTACTTGTCCAGAGTCATGCAGCTGGATAATGTGAGGTAAGTGAGGATTTGAACCCAGAAAACTGTCTAGCTTCTGAATGAGCACTCTTAACCACTATACTAAACAGTGACAGTGGACACTGAGAAACATGAATGGGTTTCAGAGGTTTTTAGAAGATAGAACTGTTAGGACTCAGTGGATTAGAGGATGAGAGGGAAACAATAAAACCTATATATATATTTTTTAAGATGAGGTCTCTGTTGCCCCAGCTACAGTGCAGTGGCTCAATCCAGGCTCACAGCAACGTCAACCTCCTAGGCTCAAGTGATCCTCCCACCTCAGCCACTCAGTGTCTGAGACTATAGGTGCATGCCACCAAGTCCAGCTAAAAACATAGATTTGTCACTGAGATAGGGTACTAGGAGGAAGAGCAAGAAAAGTTACATGAAGAGGATACGGGAATAGGATTAGTTCAGGATTAGATATTATTTTAATATTAAGTAGCCTATGAAATACGTAAAAGGGAATAACAGTCAACAATTGGGATTTGTAAGTCTGAAGCTCAGGAGAGAGATTTGTTCTAGAGATAGAAGTTTGGGAATGATAGACCAAAAAATGATGTTTGCAGTTAGTAGATGAGATTATCTAAGTATGCTAAGAGCAGAAGACTGAGGAGGGAAGCCAGAGGGCTACCAATGTATTTAATTCATAGCAGAAGAAAGAGGACTCCATCGAGAAGAGATGAGGAATATAGCCCAGGAGTGTGTGGCTTTCAGAAGAAACAGGAGGAGCTGGAAATGACCATTGGATTTGGGAAAAGAAACTTTATAGGATGCAACCATAGTAATGAGTATTGAGACTAGAAGCTATTTAGCAGTGGGTTCAGTAGGAAATGGGAGATGAAGTGGGGAGAACAAACATGAAGATCTCATTCTGAAATTTGATTGTGAAGAGGGAAGAATAAGCAAAAGCTGGAGCCATAAGAAAGGACATGAAATTCTGGCAAGGATTTTCTGCATATGTATGGGAGGTATAGTATTTGATCATGTTCAAATATGCCATAAAGGAAGAAGCCATAAAGGAGGGAGGGCAACATGAAGTTCCAGGAGAAGGAATAAATGGGATCAAGCACACAACTGGAGATTTTAGCTTTATTTATTCATTTTTTTTTTTTTTTAAGTTTAGTTATTAGGCTGGGCCTAGTGGCTCATGCCTGCAATTCCAGCACTTTGAGAGGCCAAGGTGGGCGGATCACCTGAGGTCAGGAGTTTGAGACCAGCCTGGCCAACATGGTGAAACCCCTCTACTAAAAATATAGAAATTACGGTGGCTCAAGCATGTAATCCCAGCACTTTGGGAGGCCGAAGCGGGTGGATCACGAGGTCAAGAGATTGAGACCATCCTGGTCAACAAGGTGAAACCCCATCTCTACTAAAAATACAAAAAATTAGCTGGGCATGGTGGCGTGTGCCTGTAATCCCAGCTACTCAGGAGGCTGAGGCAGGAGAATCGCCTGAACCCAGGAGGCGGAGGTTGCGGTGAGATGAGATTGCGCCATTGCACTCCAGCCTGGGTAACAAGAGCGAAACTCCATCTCAAAAAAAAAAAAGATGAATAAATCAAGGCTCCTGGTTCAGGGGTATCAGAGTACAACTTAAAGCATTGTTGCATATTTTCACAAATTGTTTAAAAAAATGTGACTATGAAACATCAAACAATAGTTTAGGTGAAACAAAATTTTTCCTTGAAACTCTCAGATTAAAAAATGTAGTCAGAAATACAGTTCCAACATTTTCCTTTATCATAAAATGTAATTTTTAAATTGTGTTTTCAAACTCTGTGACACACTAAGTTTTAATAGTTCTTGTTGATTGTGCTCTATGTACTAGGCACCACCAGACCGTTTTCTGCCATTATCTTGTTTAATTTTGTCAACTGATGAAGTAGGTTTTGTTATCCTCATTTCATACAAAGGAATCCTGGGTTCAGATTAGGTAATGTGTTTAAAAATCACAGAGCAGGCTGGGTATGGTGGCTCATGCCTGTAATCCCAGTACTTTGGGAGGCTGAGGTGGAAAGATCACTTGAGTTTATGAGTTCAAAACCAGCCTGGGCAATATGGTGGAACTCTGTCTCTACAAAAAATTTAAATTAGCCAGGCATGGTGGCACATGCCTGTGTCCCATCCACTCGGGAGGCTGAGGTGGGAGAATTGTTTGAGTCTGGGAGGTCAAGGCTGCAATGAGCTGTAATCATGCCATTGCACTCCACTCGAGCCTGGAGAACAAAGGGAGAACCTGTCTCAGAAAAATAGACTCGGCACAGTGGCTCATGCCTATAATTCCAGCACTTTGGAAGGCCGAGGTGGGTGGGTGGATCACCTGAAGTCAGGAGTTCAAGACCAGCCTGGCCAACATGGTGAAACCCAGTTCTCTAGTAATAATACAAAAACTAGTCAGGCGTTGTACTAATAATACAAATATTAGCCAGGCGTTGTAGCACACGCCTGTAATCTCAGCTACTTGGGAGAATCGCCAGAGGCAGAGGTTGCAGTGAGCTGAGATAGCGCCAGTTCACTGTAGCCTGGGTGACAGAGCAAGACTCTGCCTCAAAACAAAACAAAACAAAACAAAACAAAAAACCTGAGCAAATAAAGGCAGATTTTCAATGTCAGATATGATTCTATGATTCTAACCCATTTTTGAAATTTGTTTTTTTGCGCATATATATTTGAGACATAGGGGTTTTGATTGAAGGCTGGTTTTTAAGGAGGCTGAGGCAGGAGACTCCCTTGAATCCAGGGGACGGAGGTTGCAGTGAGCCCAGGTCGTGCCACTGCACTCCAGCCTGGGTGACAGGGCAAGTCTGTCTCAAAAAAACCCCCACAAAACTTCTCTCTCTCTCTCTCTCGCTAGTCTATAAAGTTTCCTGGGGATAAGGCTTTTCTGTTTGCTAGTGAATCCTGCCGTCTCTCCTACCTGATACGGTGAACGCTGGCAAGATGTTTGAGTGCACGCATGAATGAACGACCAGATCCGACTTAATTCTTTTTTTTCTTCAGAGTCTGCCTGCAGTTTCAGGGTCAATGTTTCCAAAAGATGACTAAGAACACACATCTGGCGTCTGTACGTGCAAACTCGAGCGATAAAGTACTGAAGATGCGCCACTCAAAAACAACTAGAAGCCTTCATTTATCAGACTGGCGCTAGGGAAAATCTGGCCAACGTTGGGGAATACAAAGCTAACCCTTTTGGTTCCTTGTGGTTCTACCGTTCCTTGGTCTAAAAGGAACCACCATCTAGACCAAGGGCCACAAGTGGTCAATTCACTAAATCCAGCCACAGTCAGAGGCCGCTGCTTTCAATTTTCCACGCAGAGAGCACCCTTCCCTTTGCTTCTTGCTTCCGCCGGAAGTGCCTTGTTAAGGGAAGTGACGAGAGCTGGGTGGGCGCCGGGGACGGAACTATCTCTTCCTCTCTCTCCACGCGGTTAAGAAGACCGGTCGGCCTGGGCAATCTGTGCTGAAGATGCCCGGAAAACTCCGTAGTGACGCTGCTTTGGAGTCAGTCACCGCAGTGAAAAAAGTGGAGACACTGCGAAAGCAAACGGAGAAGGTGAAACGGAGGGACCTGGGGCAAGGAGGGACGTTGAGTGGAGCGGAGCCCTGGGGTACAGGAGAAGTGCCTGCGCTGGAATTGTGGGAGCGCGTGGAGGGGAATAGCGAGTCTAGAGACTGGGCGTGGGTCTTAGCGGATGGTCGCCCAGGAGTGGTCCGCTCCTCGGGCAGTGGGCGCGTCGTCGGCCTGACTGAGCCAGGTTCGCCGCGCGCTGACCTCTTCTTCTGAGCTTTTAGGCATCCACATGTCCTAGGAACTCTGGTAGAGAGGCCCTATCCGAGCTCGAGAGAAGGCCGGTGTCCCACGTGGTCCCTGGCTACTGGGCGCGCCTCACACAGTGCGCAGAGTTTGACATTCAGTCAGGCTCCACGTTATTGACTAAGATTTAACTGCCGGCGTGAGCGTGAGCGAAAGGAATTACAAGTCAAGTCATAGTTGGAACTGGAGCTTTATAGCAAACTGGAGACATCATAACCTCATCTGTGCACGTGGGCGGCGTCTTTGTTGCCCCGGTTTTTTTGGGAAGGGGAGATGGAGGCTGAAGTGCGGTGTCGCGATCTCGGCTCACTGCCACCTCTGCCTCCCGGGTTCAAGCAATTCTGCTTCAGCCTCCGGAGTAGTTGGGATTACAGGCGCGAGCCATCACGCCCGGCTAATTTTTGTATTTTTAGTAGAGACGGGGTTTCTCCATTTGGTCAGGCTGGTCTCCAACTCCTGACCTTGTGATCCACCCGGCTCGGCCTCCCAAAGTGCCGGAATTACAGGCTTGAGCCACCGTGCCCGGCCTTTAGTGAGTTTTTAACTTTGGGAAGGGAAGTACAGTTTGTTTTCCGGTAAGCCGCCCTGAGAAGATGATTAGTTCAGTTCTTAATATTATATTGACTAGATTTCCCATGGAAATGTAAAGGCATATGTTGCAGTGCTAAGTGTACATTATTTTTTTATATAGGCCAGCAGTGTGCAGTAGTCTTAACCTTGACAGCCATTTGCTGCTTTGCTGTTGGCTTTCTAGTGATTTAACTTGTGACCGAGTCTCTGTTCTGAGATAAAGTCAATGAGAACAGATTGTCCTTGAACTATTGTACACTACTTAGAATTAACTTTCCTTGTTGGTTTCTCTGTCTTTTGATGTGGAGCTCTTACAACAGCAATATTTTAGAATTGTAGGAAGCTGCAGCAGATTTGTACTCGGGTGCAAGAAGGTAGTGGTTTACGCTGCATCAGTCATTGTGTTCAATTTGGCATACTCAAATCCAGAGGTACATGACCAAACTCTGTTACATTCCAAAAGAGACCACCAGCATGGGAAAACTCAGTCTTATTTGGTGAAACCAAGGGATGAAAAAGAATGAAATTTTGGAAGGAGACTAGCTTGTTTTTCATTGGCAAGGAGATTATTCTTAATCTTTGATTGGAGAACAGACCAGGCCTGACGTTTCCGGGAAGCAGATTTCAGTGTAATATGTACTTCCAAGATTGTTCTGGAGCTCTGCCAGAACAGGCTTCTAAGGAGGCTGCAACACCTGTCTAATTGTTTTCAGTAGTTTGAAAAGGTGTAGAGACTCAGAAAGTTCAAATAGGAGCCATAGTCATCTATCTTACTTGGTTCCGAGATGTCACTCCTTCCATATTCTTGTAACTTATTTATTTTATTTTAAATTAAGTACATCTTTTTTACACAGGGGTGATAGACTGTGAGTTTTTATAGCTTTTTGGTTCATAAAGTATCTCTTATTTTTTGTAGAGACAGAGTTCCACTCTGTCGCCCAAGCTAGAGTGCAGTGGCATGATTATGGGTAACTGCAGCCTTGAATTCCTGGGCTCAAGCAATTCTCCCAACCCAGCCTCCAAAGTAGCTAGTAGTGTAGGTGTGTGCCACTATGCCTGGCTAATTTTTAAATTTTTTATAGAGACTGGGTCTCTATATTGCCCATTCTTGTCTGGGACTTCTGGCCTCAAGCAATCCTCCTGCCATGGCCTCCCAAAGTGCTGTGATTACAGGCATGAACCACTGCACCTGGCCCTAAACTGCCTTTATATAAATTCATTTGCTCTTGTGAGATAGGCAAAGTGCAGAATTCCTGTTTTGGAGTTAGAGACTGCGGTGAGCTATGATCACACCTCTACCACAGCCTGTGAAAAAGTGAACTTGGCCAGGTGCGGTGGCTCACGCCTATAATCCCAGCACTTTGGGAGGCCGAGACGGGTGGATCACGAGGTCAAGAGATCGAGACCATCCTGCTCAACAAGGTGAAACCCTGTCTCTATTAAAAATACAAAAATTAGCTGGGCATGGTGGTGTGCGCCTGTAGTCCCAGCTACTCGGGAGGCTGAGGCAGGAGAATTGCTTGAACCCAGAAGGCGGAGGTTGCGGTGAGCCGAGATCGTGCCATTGCACTCCAGTCTGGGTAACAACAGTGAAACTCCATCTCAAAAAAAAAAAAAAAAAAAAAAGAAAAAGTGAACTTGTCTCTTAAAAACGAAAAAATCCCTGTTGTTTTACCTGGGATTTTAGCAGGAAGAAAGAAAAGAAACCTGTTTAACACATCATCAATCTGTAGACATACATGACCTTATTCTATTGGGATTGAATTTGGACTTTCTGTATTGAGTTTGGAGCCTGTTGGAGTATACCATGAATTTATCCAAATCCCTTATGAAAAGCTGGGTGCAGTGGCTCACGCCTGTAATCCCTGCACTTTGGGAGGCTGTGGCGGGCGGATCATCTGAGGTTGGGAGTTGGAGACCAGCCTGACCAACATGGAGAAACCCTGTCTCTACTAAAAATACAAAATTAGCTGGGCATGGTGGCACATTGCCTGTAATCCCAGCTACTTGGGAGGCTGAGCAGGAGCCTACTTTGTAGGCTGAACCTGCAAAGCGGAGGTTGTAGTGAGCTGAGATTGCACCATTGCACTCCACCCTGGGCAACAAGAGCAAAACTTCGTTTCAAAAAAAATAAAAGAAAGTCTGGTTTATAGGCCAAGCACCAATCGCAGTGGCTCATGTAATCCTAGCAGTTTGGGAGACTGAGGTGGGTGGATTGCCTGAGCTCAGGAGTTTGAGACCAGCCTGGGCAACATGGCAAAACTCTGCCTCTACTAAAAATACAAAAATTAGCTGGATGTGATGGTCCACACTTGAGAGACTGAGGCAGGAGAATCGCTTGAAACCGGGAGGTGGAGGTTTCAATGAGCTGAGGTTGCGCCACTTCACTCCAGCCTGCGCGACAGAGTGAGGCTGTCTCAAAGCAAAAAGGAAAATCTCTCTTAAAACTGTTTGACCCACGTAAGTTGAATTACTAAGGGGCACCCTTCATTTTCCAAGATAGTGAAACTATTGATACATATCTGTCTCTATAGTTAAGAAGTAATACTAGGAAAAAGCTTACTGTTTTTTACGTTATCACACGTGAAAGTACAAATGTCAAAATGCCCCAAAATTGTATTTTTCAAAGTTGAAAATGATCTTGAAATAATCCAGAATTGATAAATCATGCAAATGTATAAATGTCTTATTCGTGTTTTTATTTTCCTTATGAATTTTTTTAGAAAGAGAAAAAAGAGAAGCCAAAATCTAATAAGATTGAAGAGATAGCAGAGGAGGAAGAAACTATTTCCCCCAAAGCTAAAAAAGTTAAAAAGAAAGCAGAGCCTTCTGAAGTTGACATGAATTCTTCTAAATCCAACAAGGCAAAAAAGAAAGAGGAACCATCTCAAGATGACATTTCTCCTAAAACAAAAAGTTTGAGAAAGAAAAAGGAGCCCATTGAAAAGAAAGCTGTTTCTTCTAAAACCAAAAAAGTGATAAAAAATGAGGAGCCCTCTGAGGAAGAAATAGATGCTCCTAAGCCCAAGAAGATGAAGAAAGAAAAGGAAATGAATGGAGAAACTGGAGAGAAAAGCCCCAAACTGAAGAATGGATTTCCTCGTTCTGAACCTGACTGTAACCCCAATGAAGCTGCCAGTGAAGAAAGTAACAGTGAGATGGAACAGGTAAATTTGGACTTCATCAGTAGAAGATATCTTTCATTGTTGTTTCAGATAAATAAGTAGGTAACTGCTCTGTGTACTGTTTAATAGTAGGAGAAAATGTGATGTTTTAGCACTTCGTGGGTTAGGGGTACCTTAGGCTGAGTGAGACTTCATCTTAAAAATTAGCATAGGACTGGGCATGGTGGCTCACTCCTGTAATCCCAACACTTCAGGAGGCTGAGGTGGGTGGGTCAGCTGAGGTCCAGAGTTTGAGACCAGCCTGGCCAACCGTGGTGAAAACACCATCCCTATTGAAAATATAAAAATTAGCCAGGAGTGGTGGTGCATGCCCATGATCCGAGCTAAGACAGAATATTCTTTTTTTTTTGGAGATGGAGGACATGTCGGAGTGCAGTGGTGTGATCTCAGCTCATTGCAACCTCTGCTTCTGGGTTCAAGCAATTCTACCTCAGCTTCCCCAGTAGCTCGGATTGCAGGCATGTGCCAACATGCCTGGGTAATTTTTTATATTTTTCGTAGAGGGGGTTTCACTATGTTGACCAGGCTGGTCTCGAACTCCTAACCTC